TACTTTATTATAATTAAATTATCAGAATGAGACTGCTGAGTTAGAAAATAATGGGTTGTTTTATTCTTCATTAGATGTATACAAGTAGTCAATTTTTTGGGTCATTTCTTATCTCTGTCTTCCATGTGTATACCTCCACAGTAGTCTAGTACTACCCTGAAGTACTTCAGGGTGGAGATTTCAACATGCCGCATTTCTTGAAGTATTTTTGTGAAGGGAAATCTTTTACCTATTTTTTTTTTATTGCAAATAAATGTCCCATTTATAAAAATATTACTCATATAATACAACATTTTGAATTATTACTTGCTTAAACTAAAGATGTAATAATTCAAATTATTTTATCATATCAGCAATACTCCTATGATAAAAGTATACATATATCTCATGTTGCCATTCTGTACGCTGAGTTTTAGCAGTTCATATATTGATTTGACATAATACCCTGTGTGTGTGTGTATATTCATTGCACCTATCTGAGGTCCAATGGGGGAAATAAGTAGGTGAGCCCAAACTCTGACCGGAAGCGTAACATAATTATCCATAAGTGCAGTGTTATAACTACACTTCCGACATTTATAACGATCCAAACCATTTGAAAATCGGGAGAACATTGAGCAAGTTATGGTAATTTAAAAAGTACATGCACCACTATAACACAATGTACGATGAGTGAGAGCCCCGAATCAAGAAGGCCGCAAGTGTAGTCGTGCGATTCCATTGACTGACACCGTGGACAAGACATCTAGCCTTTATTATATATATCTATGTATGAAACTATAAAAATAAAATTCAAGAAAAGCAGAACCTTTATATGACTTTAGAACTTAAAGAGAAGCCAACGGCAGAGCAACGGAACAGTTAAGACCACAGCTTTCAGAACGGCAACAAAGGCATTCACACCACTATTATAACCATGTAGAACATGGACCCTCATAGCCACAGAGAACAATAACAAAACCTTGTGGAACAGTGGCGACATTCTGCAGGAACAAGAACACTACCAGGTGGACAAGCAGAGCAGAATAGTGGAATTCACTACCTGTGAATGGTGGAACTTGATCCAACAACAGAGGTAACCCAGAAAACTGAGGCATAATCCCAGCAAAAACAAAGGAACTTATACTGAACTGTGACACACCACTGGGAAGAGGACAGGAACCCTAAAACCACAATCAGAACCATGTACAACATAAGTTCTACCATTTGTAACAGTGGTAGAACTTGACAGAGCAGCAAGGATTCCCAGAGACCTTCAGTATGACTCCAGCAACAACAAAGGAACTGAAGAAAGCTCACAGAGAACAGAGAACAGTGGAACTTGAACCTTTTAATATGAACACACTTGAACCATGACAACCCACTGGAAAGAGCAAATGAACCCTAAAACTACAAGATGGAACCCTGCAGAACTGTAAAAGTTAGATCACTAGGTTGTTCTGTGGGTAAAATTACCTCCACAAAGGTCAGAGTTCCAAGTGGGCATGGTTCCCTGGGTTCTCAGTGAAACCCTCTGGTGTTTGGCAGAGGAAGTACAGGTGAAGCTGGTGGAGGTGAAGGCAGATTCAGTTGTAAGAAGATTATCACACTGAGCTAATTACAGTTAGAGAGAGAGAGGACTGACTTGATGTCTCTCTCTCTCGTCCCTTCTTCCTTCTTTTCTCAACTTAAAGCCTAAAAACTTGTCATTTCAGACTGAAGGTCACATGTTCCACCAATATGGAGCTTCAGTTCTCTGTTTTTTCCACTAGGGGGCAGAACATGCAAGCAGAAACATACATCCCTCTTACAAATAAGTTGAGCTGCTGAGTTGGCGCTACATAAAAAAATTCATCCATCCATTAATCCTCACGAGGGTCGCGGGGTGCTGGAGTCTATCCCAGCTGACTTAGGGCGAAGACAGGGGACACCCTGGACAGGTCGCCAGTCTATTGCAAGGCTGCACTTAGAGACAGACAACCAAGCACACTCACACCTCTGGACAATTTAGAATCACCAATTAACCTCAGCATGTGTTTTGGACCTTGTAGGAGGAAGCCAGAGAACCCGGAGAGAAACCGCGCTGCACGGGGAGAACATGCAAACTCCACGCAGAAAGATCCCGGTGTCCTCACTGGGACGCGAACCGGCAACCTTCTTGCTGCGAGGCAACAGTGCTACCAACTATGCAACCTTCCAGCCCCACATAAAAAAATATCAATCAACAATAAAAACATTGGTTACTGTCAGGTTAATGAAGCAAAGTTGATGTTACTCCTAATTGCAAGCCTGGTGAACGAATCAGCCAAATAAAGTAACTCTGAGTTTCTATGTGTAGAAACAAGTAAAAGGCTGATGTGCAAAGTAGTGCAAAAAAAAATGCAGAGTTTCAAGAGGTTTTAAAAATGTAAATAGCTAAATATGTAAAACATATTGAGCCATCATTTGCAGGCACTTGGAACATCATTTAATATGTTGATTCCAGATTTTTGCAACCAAAGAAATAGATTTTTTTTTACTATTTTTATGATTTATGCCATTCTGTGTCATAATGCACAGAAGACATTTCTAAGTTCTCTCTACTTCTAGCCATTTTTGTGCGGTTTCTATAAAGATGCCAAACTTTATGAGGCAGAGAAAAATGAGCCCATAGAGAGGAAAAAATGTGACAAGAGCAAAAAACACCCAGAAACTGCTCGGACTTTAGAGTGTTAAAGCTGACATGTTGCCAAAGGAGAGTTACTGAGCAGGCAGAGTGCCCAAAGTTTTGCTTTGGGCCCATTGTAATTTTTTGGTATTTTAAAACTGTGAAAAGATGGAAATAAAAAGTGATCATACTTCAAATTTTCCAGAAATCTGCCACTTGGAAATCAGCTCAACTTTTCCTCCCTTATGGGTTCACAGGAACGGATATTTAAACCACGGTGCGAAAACTTTTGCACGTCCGAGAAACTACAGTTTGCTGGTATTTATCATGTAGGCGTCTTGCCTCATGGGACTAACACGTATCCTTTATCCACCCTTGTCTCAAGTAACTAGCAGATAGCGTGCAGCCACCCGAACATAATGTAAGTTGCAGCTAGTGTGTAGCCACGCACCCTAATATAACTAACATTAGCATGTAGCCACTCACTGTCATGCTCGTCGCAGCTGGTATAGTCGGGCGTGGTCACTAGCTCCTCCTCCGAGCTGCTGAAGCTACCGATCACATGCATTTTCCCCATTCTCCGCCCCCTCTGCACTGCACTTTCGTTAACCGATTTCCTCTTGAGGGCGGAGCTCGGGTCCAGGTGTTGCTGTGGTAACGGGCTGCGGCGGGGAGATGTGGGGCTGATGTGATTGGCTGATCGGTCCACAGAGAACGACCTCTGACCTCCAGGCGGTCGATTCTGACGGAGAGCTACCACAAAAAAAACAGCAAAAAAAACAGTTATAGACTTGAAATGTGAAGCGAGCAGCGTAACAGGCTGCCAGTTGTGTTCTTACCTGGGTGTCGCAAGGTCATGTGATCTGGCTCAGCAGTTGCCAGGGAGACATCACTGTGACGACGTTGGTGGCGGACCCTGCCGACCTGAGCTAGCATCCTCATGGTCTCCTCACTTGGCTGTGGCTTTACTGGGTATCGAGCCAGGTTGGGGTCGCTACGGTAACGAGCCTGAAACTCCTCCTCCTGCCGCCGCCGCAGCTCACGCTCATCCTGAACCTGGTCCAGAGGGTGGTCCTGATCCGGGAGCGGAGAAAGATCAGCATCATCCTCATCAACAGAATCAGTCTGCATCCTGCCAGTGCCTCCTACAGCCTCGGGCATTTATTGCAGCTCAAACAACTCAAAATGAACTGATGACATGATACAGAATTTAACATCTAACAAACAGCCAAATAAAAATTAGTGAGAATTGTTTGAAATTAGTGGTTTTTGTTTGAACTTTCATTTGTGTGTTTTGTGTTGCTGTCGATTCAACAATGGCTTTAAGCAGTTTAAAATCTATCCATCCATCCATCCATNTTGTTTTATTCTTCATTAGATGTATACAAGTAGTCAATTTACAAATCATTAAATTATCGAAGGTAAAACTCAACTGGTTTCAGTGCATCCCTCAAGTCCATGATATAAGTTCATAAGACGTTCTGTTCTCTTGTTTATCTGCTATCTTCTTCATCAAGTTCAGATGCTCTGTCCTCCTGTCTGCATCGGGTTCACGAGATGCTCTTTTCTATCTGCGTCTAGTTCATAAAGTGGTGCGTATTATATACTATTCATATGATACCATCTTGCTCCAGTGCATTTGCTGCCTGCAAATTTGTCTGTGTTTCAATTCTCTTGTATTAATTTTTTTTTCTCCCTCGATGCCGGTGTCAAAATGGTATGTATTCCATGGTCTGCATGTTGTGTTGTGAATCGACTGAAGAAGGTTCAGTGTCCTAAAAGTAATTTTAAGGATCCTAAACCTCACACTGATTAATTATACTTTAAGGTCAGGGATGCAAACAACTCAGCTTTAAGGACCAGAGCTACCACCTGCTGTGTCTAAAAAAACATGGCGGTCTGGTGATTCCATCAGAAGGCACAGTGAGGGTTGTCAGGGCAGCAGAGTGGGTCATTCGCCAGGCATCAAGTTTCAGACCATCACAACCCATCAAACTGCTAGAGGTCATGTACATGGTATGGAAGAGGATCGGGTCAGAGGATGCGTTTTTGCTCGGGGAGCACATCGGCGACACGCAGTATGGCATAGACAGCCACCACCATACGCTATTAACGTTAGTCGTGTCCCTGTTTTTTATGCTAAGGCGGCACCACATCGCAGAATTGACAACACCTAGCTTACAGAGCAACAACATGTGACAGAAGTATAATAAAACAGTCCTTTACAAAGGGCATTAGCCCAATGTTATGACCCTAGTGGGTGTCTCTGTGCTGTGTTGTGCCCTCGTTCTCTCTCTCTCTCTCTTATAGATAGATAGATAGATAGATAGATAGATAGATAGATAGATAGATAGATAGATAGATAGATAGATAGATAGATAGATAGATAGATAGATA